CCTACCTATTTATAGTGAAGGTACTATATGTGCATTTAATTCAGTAATTGTGGCCTTTTGGCTGGTTGGGGGACGTTAGATATGAAACAAATTCCACACATAGGAAGTTTCTGAAATTGAATCTAGTCAGAATTGTGGGATTGGGAACTAGAGATGATGAGGTAGAGAATATTCTTGAGGTCAGTGGACTTGAGCTCTCCCCACACCTTTTCCACACTTCTGTCTTGCTTTCTCTTCTATCCTTTTCATAGTTCAAAATATGTTATATACAGGTACATCAGCAAAAGGATTCCTGGCATCGCCCTTAATCGACTTTGGCTATACGTGTCGTTAATAGTCCAAACTATCTTTTTAATTAGAAGTTGTCTGTATGTATGTTTTTGAGAGGACAATCAGAAAAGCTTCATTGTGAAAACTAGATTTCAATTAACAGCAGCTCCGATTCTAAGCGGGTGAAAATGCTGGATAGAGAATGAAAGTATGGACAGAATTTTCTGTGACATTTGACCTCAAATTCCTTCCTAAGGATCAATCTGGCCTGTAATCGTGTCTAGATTCATTTTGCCTAGAGGAATTATCCTGCACATTTCTCACACTTGAATCAAACCAAAAAACCAGCAATACTGAAACTAATTGCAAGTCTCAAGGAACATTTGAGGTGAGTCTGCAGATATTTTCACGTGAAGCAAGCTGATATCTGTTTGAAGGTACTCCTTCAAAACTAAGGGTAACTTCCAACTGAAGTTTTTTTTTTTGCAGATGGTCCTGACATGATTTAATACTAGAAGGAAGAAGATTAGAACAAAACAAATTAGAAGAAAGAAATTATTTCAATTTTGGTAGAAACCACAGGCTAAAACACATAAAGAAATGGATTTGTCATCAGGTTGCTGTCTCAGAAACTAAGCAGTCTTATATCTAGTTAAAATATAAATTACAGCACTGTAAAATGAATAACCACTATTTAACAAGAATTTATGAGTGCTTCTGTTCTCTTCATTGTAGACAATTATGGATGCAATATCTTCATTCTTCCTTGGAATGTGAAAGTTGACTGAGCAAAACTTAACTACTGCTTGCCTTGGAACGGAAACAACTCTAAAGCCAATGGAAATAAGGTTAATTAGAATGCCAAAAATGTGCTTCTTTCTAGAGTTATTTATAATGGTGATTCAAATGGCTTGCCGCTGCTGGATTTGATATGAGATAGCTAGCATTCAAGCAGCATGGTGTGGGCATGTTAATCTAGATCACAGTAACTGGCTTTTTCTTCGCGTAGTAACTAAGCAACTTAGCTTGTTTAAATTGGCAGGAAATTATGCTTTTTTTTTATCGGTTCTATCATTAAGCGTAATTTCATGGCTAGTTGGCAATCCTTTATAGGTATTCTAGTAAGGTTAGGCTATTGTCATAGAATCATTTCAGCTTTGCCTCTTGACAAGATGAAAGTAGAGACTGTTTCTTACTTACTCCTCCAAAGAAAATGGGTGGAGATTTTATAGCCCCTTAATATAAAAAAGAAGGTTGGCGTCTGGAGAATGAGGTTTCCTTGATACACTCAAAGCTTTTAAAAAAAGACCTTTCTTGTTAATCAGTTAAATTGCACCAGGGCAAGATCCAACACAAAAAAGAAGATTGCTTTAGATTAATCTTTCGTACATTAGAGATGGAGTTTTTTGTTGGACCAATATGATTGATAATGTTTAAAATAGAAAGTTAATGGTCTGATGGGAATTCCAGTACCAATGTGTATATCAGATAACTTTGTCATCTTCTTTTGAGCCAATTAGCTTTGTTTTTAACAGAATTCCTTGCTGTAGTATTTCAGATGACTCACATTTAGTTTTACTATTAGTATCAGCTAACCGTCTTTCCTTTCAGAATATAAACAACAAATGACATTAGGAGTTCTTCCAAACATTGATAATCATCCATTAGTTTCAAAGTTCCTCAATAAAGTTCTCAAGCCTAACTCCAGAGAACATTGGATGAAAGATCACTTCAACTTTGTTTGGTTGCTTGGTAAGGTACTGGCAAATAATCACACTCATTGACAAATAAAGAAGTCTCTGGCAAGTGAACCTAGACGCAACTATGGGATAAATGGGAGGTAAAGAATACATGTGGTGTCATTTGCCTGTTGCTGTACATTCTTCCTGCCTTTTCACTGAAATATCTTTTTCCAGCCCTTCCTTTTCGGCTTAATCCTAACCAGAATCTGGTGTATAAACCCAACCGGAACTGGATTTTTACGTAGGGCAGATGCTACAAGAGATTTCATTAAAATAAACAAAACTGACAAAATTTCTTATTTCCTCTCAATATCTTAAATCTGTATAACCGTTTTTTCAAGCTTATAAACTATAGCTACTTCTTAATGACTTAATCTTCAAGGCGAAGGAAATAATCCAAATTAATGTTGCCAAGCATGAGGTGTGGTCGGCTGTGCTTGAAAATAGTTCTTTTCCTTCTGAAAAGTGAAAAGAAAAAGATGAAAAGGATAGACCTTATAGATGAAAGAGTTGGAGAAATCCAGAAATCTTTCTGTCCACTAGCTACTATTGCTCTATAACCTTCATTTTCCCTCAAATATTGACCAGGTTCAATTCGTGGAACATTAAAGCTGTAAATTTCACTCACTTTGAACAAGAGATCACCATTTCGAACTGTGTCATTGTCAATATTTAAGCTTACTGAACCTCGCCTATTTATACAGTGAACCTTCTGTGTATTAATATACCAAGAAACTGTAAGATGAGAAAGGGAATGTCAGCTGTTCCCTGGAGTTCCCCTGACCACTTCACTAGGGCTGTTTTAAGACCCTTACCGAGGAAAATTTTGCCCCACTGAAGTGTTTGGGGGAACTCTGGCTGACAGTTGACACTGGTTAGCAGGAAATATTGTTGAAGGCTAATTTCATGGATAGGCAGGCTTTTCTAGTAACATGTAAACTAGTTCATACTTTTATGTTATTCAATGCTGTTTGATGAAACCATCTCCTCCACACTTGTTCATGTGACATAGGCAGGGGCTCTCTCCTGTCTTCCCCTTCCCTTGTGCCTTCCCCATCCACTGACAAGTAATTGGTAAACTGAAGCATCATTTTTGGTTTCTATCCTGCATATAGTGATTTCTCTTGATTTTCCACATTCAATTTTCATAGGCTTGAAGATACTCTAATGCCTTCAATCTGTCTTTTTCTTGCTGTGTTTTTAAGTTTTATCTTGCATAATTATCATCTACTGCTCCAACATTGCCTACATTGAGAATGTATATGTTCCCGTGATTTTTCCTTTCCCCCTATTTTGGCTGCTTCCCACGTCCTTTGGTTGGTATCTGCATCAATTTGGAGTCTACAAATGCTCTTTTTTGCTTGTTTTCTCATTTCATACAACATCGGAGGTACAATACACTGTTTTCTCTTGAGATCAGTATTTCCTTTCCTCTCTCTCAATGGTTGGGAAGAATGCACTTAACCTTTAGACATTTACTACATGAAAACATACATGCTAAAAGATTTTACTTTATTTCGAGGGAATTATTAGAGCCTAATAAATAATTTATTATAAAGCATATGATGAATGAAAAAGATTTTTTTATGTGACTTGTGAGCATTCAGCTTTGATACCAGATGGCAAAAGAAGAAACTCGAAGAAAAAAAAATGTATTATTTAGAGAAATACATGAGAATTTTGTGAGAATATCTTAATGTATTTTGTGTTAAGGTGACATGAAACTTCTTCAAATAGATTTTAATAATAAAAGGATGATTTTCACTGTTAAGGAATTTGTTGTATGCTGAAGTTACTTCTTTCCTTCTTGCTTGCTATAAAAAACAGACCACAACTAAACTAAACAGTGCCATGAGACTTGCTATCATGGAACGATGCATGCCTTCTTAAACACGTGGTTACTTTTTACTAAAGTTGGCTGTCTTTGGGTAGCTTTGTTAAAAGCCTATCTTTTGAGAGCTAGAAGTTTCTGGCGTCTTGCCTGCCCCCCAGATTCTAGTTGGCATTGGAGGAAACTCCTTAAATTGAGAAATTTATGCAATAAGCTTTTGAAGCATAGAATTGGGGATGGGAAGAGTACACACTTCTGGTTTGAAACTGGTCCACTTATTGCCTATGGCGGAGGCATTCCATCAGAGATTGCAATCCCTGAGAATGCAACTGTGGCCTCTGTTTTCTTCAATGAAGATTGGACTTGATCCCTCATCACCTCTCCAGACTTGAGGAATGTACATCAGGCTTTGACTGATCTTACAATTAATGCAGAAGAGGATGTTGTTGTCTGCATCAAAGTCTAGAAAGTTTGCACTTTCAGATACTTGGGCTTGGATCAGGGAAAAACGTTTCAGTGGCTTGGCATAACCTGGTCTGGAACTCCTCTTCTCTTCCAAAGCTTAGTTTTGTTGGCTTGCAGTTCTTGATAGAAATCGGGTTATTCAACTGTCAAAAACTACTTGCTATTTCTGCAGTGCTGAGGATGGGACTCGAGATCTTGTTTTCTTCTCCTGTGACCTTCTGGAGATTAGTTCTGGAAAGGTGTGGCAATGGTAGAAGGATTCGAAGTTGGCAAGAAGAGCGTAGCTGGACTATTGACCGTTCCGGAGGGGGGGGGGACTTTCCCTGCTATTCTTCTGAGAGGTGTATGGACAGCATGCATTTATCATACATGGCATGCTAAGAATTTATAAAGTTTGTTAGGTATCAGGCATTAGTTTTAATTGTTTATCCAAATTTGTAAAAACTTCAGCAAATCTTTCCATCAGATCCTTAAGTCCTGTTTCTTTAGATAATGAAATACTACTTATGTAAAAAAAAAAAAAAACTAAAGAATAAACTCTAAAAATAAACAAAAATTAGCTACTTCTTGAAACATAAAATAATTAAAACCAAATTACTAGCAAAAACTTTTCTGAAGACATTTAAAAATAATACAAGAATTCGAATTTGATTGATGTTTATCTTCGACAAGAAAGATAAAAAACAAAACCCCTAACTCTCAGTTGGCATCTCAAACCGACAAATAGGACAATAATGGCTCTGCTTCAACCATGTTTCGATGCAGATAGCATGAAAAGTATGAGAACAAGGCATCCGAGAAGCACCTGATCCAACCTTGATTTCCTCCAAACATATAACGCAATCTTCGCCTTTCACCTTCCTTTTCTTGATGTTTTCTTCACCCTTTTCACGTTCATCTCCATCTTCCACTCTAACCCTCTTCAGCATCTTCTCAACAGATGACTCCTTCGCTGGAACCATGCCATAGTTACTCTCTAATGCTGATTCCTCCAAAGCTCTTCTGACCAAAATCATATCATTGTTTACGTGTTCCTCGACTGTTCCCCATAGCTCTAAACGTAAAGGCAAGACTTTACGTCCCATGTTGGACGCCAAGTTTCCGATTCTAAGTCCATGTCGGATAATCTCATCAATGACAAGGTCAAAAGTAAGAGATTCTGGGTTGATACGAAGTCCGTTTAACATGGGACCAAGAATTTGCTTAGCCTGGTCTTGGTTTCTCAAAACATGGAGATCGAAACGAAGAGTTTCTTGGGAGAAGTTGTTGCCGTATTCGGTGAAGCGGCCAATTAATCAATCATGGCGGACGATCAGGAGATCGAGGGTAATGGTTACTTCAATTTGGACGAAACGAGGAGCGGGGTGATGGGGTTCTGGTATAGTATTGGGTTGAAAAACTTAGTGGTACAGGCCATTACAGCGGTAGGAAACCAAAGCCATTGGAGAAACTTGAAGAGAAAGCTTCTGTTTGAAACAATCAGAATCGTTATTGCAAGTTTGGAACTCACAGTAGTGTTTATAATGGGCAATGGCGGTGGAGTGAAATCCTACATCGAATTCGAATAGGGAAGTCCTATTCGTGAAAGGATTAGTATATCCTATTAGTAATAAATTTTATTGTGTGTATATATATATATGGACAAAATTTTTATAAAATTTTTTAAGTAAACTTTATAAAGTTTTTTTTTTTTAAAATGATTTAATAAAAATTTTAAGACTTATTGCCTTGGCTTGGTATGGAGACAATTTTTTAAAATAATAATAATATATGCAAATCAATTTTTTTTAATAATTGGTTGTTTTAATTAGGAAATGTAATTAATGTTAAACACATAACAATTAAAATATATTATTTAATTAATAAAAAAAAAACTATGCATAACAAATTTTGGAAACTATTTTCGCATATAAATTCTGATCACTGAATTTTTGGTGACAGCTTGGCAATGAAAATAAATTATATATATATAGCACAAATAAAAAATAAATTATATTTAGGCATCATTTAATATTGTTGTTAGAAATAGTTTTTGTGTTTAAAAATTGTTTTGATTCAAATGTAATGATAAACAATAAAAAAAAATTTGATTTTTTACTTTAAAGGTTTGTTTTTTCAACTCAACCAAAAAGTTCATCAAAAAATGCTTTTATAGTGAAAAAAATACGATTGGCATAAAAATCACTTTACTATCCTTATTTTTTAATATTTTATTATTATATATATTTTTAAATATTTCAATTATTTACAATATTTTTTTATAATAATATCAAAAACTTAAAATTTTTAAGCATAATTTCTTCACCACATTTTTTATATCCAAACTTTTTCTAACCGCAAAAATAATGTTAAACCAACTTTTAGTGAATATTATTATGCTGTAGATACATTACAATCTAAGTGCTTGCGTGATTCTTCATTATTATTGTAACATTTTAATCTCATATTAAGATTCTTTAAATATTTATAATAATATATATGAAGAGATTTAATCTTAAATTTATAAGATATATTTTATGAGATAAAATTGTAAGATTTTTGGATCAAAACAGATAATATCTTGTAAGTTAGGTGTAAGGCTCCACAAATTATATCAGAGCGATCACTATTCGGACAGAGCTAAGTGCTACACCGTGAGAGTTACTTTTATAATCTTACAAGAGTTAAGTGTTACACGATGTGAGCTATTTCTAGAATTCCAACGTCTTATATAATCTTATAATTCGTGTATACTTTGTGTTGGGCTTACTTAACGTTTTTATATGCTTTGTGTTGAGTTTGGGGGAATTTGTAACACTCTAATCCTATATCGGGATGTTTTGAAGATCTGTAATAATATATATGTAGAGGCTTAATCTTAAATTTGTAATGTGCCTTTTGTGAAATAAAATCGTAAGACTTTTGAATTAAAATAGATAATACATCGTACAGATATCCATAATTACAATGAAATTAATGAAAATTTTTTTAAAATATTTATTAAATAATTTATTAATACAATAAAAATTTATTTATTTTTGATTGGATAAGAATTTAAATATCGGTAAAATTAGTAATAAGTAATTAGTATTTTGTTAATTAGATATGAATTTGATGAATGATAATTTAAAGTAGTTATTACCTCATATATTTTAAAATTTTACTTCATCAAAGTAATTGCTAAAACCAAAATCGTAAACCAACCATAAATAATTTTTATTTCATACTTTCAAAATTGATTGATTAAAATTTAATCTTGTAATGAATTACTCTTTATGTGTAAATTTTAATATCATCAAATCGAATTATTAGATAAAAAAATAAGATCTGATTAAAATTAAAAACATAACATATTCACTTTCGTGCAATTGTTTTAAATTGAAAATTGGAACGTAAAAAAAAAAAATTTCTTCAGACAAATAAAAAAATTAATTAATATAATTGAAACAGAATTAATAAAATAATCAAAATCAAATTAATAACAAAAACTCTTCCAAAGCCATCAGGAGTTTATCTTCGATAAGAAACAAAAGAGAAAAATAATAATAATTAAGTTCTTAACTCTCTCTAAGTTAGCATCTCAAATCGGCAAATAGGGCAATAATGGCTCTGCTTCAGCCACTTTTCGATGCAATCACCATGGAAAGTATGAGAACAAGGCATCCGGGAAGCATCTGATCCGACCTTGAGTTCCTCCAAACATATCATGCAATCTTGGTCTCCGACTTCCATCCAAACCTTCTTCAGCATATTCTTAACCGATGATTCGTTAGCTGGAACCATGCCATAGTTTCTTACTTCAAACTCTGATGCCGATTCTGACAAAGCTCTGCTGAAGGAATTAGCCCTTGCATGTACCAGAAGTGTTCCCCATAACTCTGCACGTAAAGTCAAGACTTTACGCCCACTGTTGGACGTCAAGTCTCCGAATGCAAGTCCATGTTCTATAATTTCATGGGCGAAATTGACAGAAAAACGAGAGATTGGGTTGAGTCCGAGTCTTGTTAAAGCGGGACCAAGAGTTAGGTGAACCTGGTCGTGGTTTTTCAAAACGTCAAGATCGAAACGAAGAGTTTCTTGTTGTAAGATAGGGTTGATGTTGAAGTCGCTGATTTGGTTGGTTAAGCAATCATGGGGAACGAATGTGAGACGAAAGCTGATGGTTAAGTCGACCTGGTTGAGACTCGGAGGTGGGTGGCTTTCTGGTATAGTCTGGGGTTGGAAAACACGGTGGTGTAGGTGACCATACTGGTAAAAAAGGGAAGCCATGAAACTTTTGAAGAGAAAGCTCTAAGACAATCACATTAACAATCTGTATTGTAAGTTTCGTCTGGCGTATTTATAGAAGGCAGAGTCAAAACTTATACCTAATAGGAATAGTAAATCTTGTTTGTTTTAATACTTGTCAATATTAAATTATCGATGCAATTGAGTTATTAAAAATATTAATGCAATCAAATTTTTTAAACATGTTATTTTTTAATTAGAAAATTTAAATGGTCATTATTTGTATAATTAAAAAAAAGCTTATATTTTCATTGGAAAATTTTCATATATACATAAATATAATGTAGCTTTTATAATAAAAATTTATATTTAAGGGTTTAGTATATAAAACTAGTAATATATAAAGGGAAAAACGAAAAAAGGAAAAAAGAGAACTATATTCTTTAGGCGTTTGTCACTGATGAATTCACAATTGGTTCAAATAGAGCAGGACAAAGTCCAAAAGCAAAAGCAATTATCTAAGGGAATTGGTTAATGTGCTGAGCTAGTGGTGGCTGCCTTCTTGAAATCAATTTTGTCAACCTTAACTTCACCATCGATGAGTTCATACACATATACCCACTACACGCAAGCCATCTATGTCCAAGAGCACAGAGCTTGGGTTGACATCGTATGTGAAGCTAACATATGCACCCGTGGCAGAGCCAGGATTTATGACGATACCACCCTTGTGCTTGTATGCTTTAAACTGATGGGTGTGTCCAGTCACAAAGATATCGACATCCAATTGCCTTTGTAGCATTGCTAGTGAATCCAAATCCCCCCACGGAATGACCTGTCGAAAGCAAAAAAGAACCAAAAATATATATATATATATATATTAATGATTGCTAACTGTTGTTATAATCATACGAACATCTGTTTACAGTAAGTTGGAATGACCACTAAAAGCTCTTCACAGATGGAAACTGATACAACCATACGATGATTACAAAAATGCTCAAGTGGATATAATATTATTGTCCACTTCATAAAAACGTACTGTTTCGCTGGAAGGTCAATACTTGAAAACTTTTTCCTAGCACTTTCACAAAACTACACTTCCCCATTTCATTTTTTTAAATTTTTTTTCTGGTACATGTTCTCCATTTCTGATATGAATTTACAGGTTGAGTTGATTCCAGTAAGGTTACCAGTACATTACAACCCTTGGCATTTATTGATCTTATAAGTTTTCAAACCCCAACTTAACCTTTTGTGGATAGCAGATGTTCTAAAGGTTTTCCATTGATGCAAAGATTGGAATTATATGTAAGTTTTGCAATAAACTAGCCGTTATTAATGCAGATGTTAATTTCTGCATCTTTATTTGCTATAAGCTGATCTGTAGTGTTAAAAAGGGTGGCATTGTTTTACAAACGATATTCTTTTTTGCAAGTTTGATTCATTCTTTTAGGTATAGTTCACATCATTGTCATAACGCATAAATCTATAAATCTATGATTAGACATAATCTAAAAAGTCACCATCAAAATTTTTTAAGTTGTGCTTGGTAACCTAACGAATTTATCTTCTTAAAGATATCTTAAGCTTAAGTAAGAATCCTTAAAAGAATAAGTTTTAGTTTGTATTTTAGAACTAAGTTCGAGAGTTTAGTTATATGTGAGAAAAATTATAGCACCTCCACAATGTCCATCATAAGATGATATCTTTTAATTTTAAATGATCATAATAATCATCTTGGTTCTAATGGTTTTTATTTTAATGTTTAAACATTGAAAATAATTTTCAAGACTTCTCTATCAATCTGATAAAATTTTTAAAAATAATTTCTTACCTTAAGAGTATTCAAGAATTTTATTTGTTTTCTTAAAAAGGCTCTATCGCCGAAAATTGACTTAATAATTTATTTTTTTGTTAAATTTTTGTTTTATTGAAAATGAAAATATATATGATTTTTTCACTATTTGGGTCAAAATTA